ACAACAAACAAGGGCGGTCCGGACGCAAGGAACATCATCCATGGTTTGACCTTGCAAATGCTGCTCTACTAGGAAGTCTCAGAAGCTGTGCCCGATTTGTCATCTCTGAATCCGTGAGATCACCCGTAACTAGCGAAATTAGGCGTCGACAGCGTTAGAGAGCATCGTGTCAGCTCGATCAGCAATATCAGATTCAAAATCCCCTCCCTCCGATAAGCTGTCGATCCCCCTCACTTCTCATCATCCCGTGACTTTGTGCAGGCTGTCTACCCCAACATACATGCAATCACGATCCACGACCGTGCCCATTGCCCATCATCAATAGTCAGATCCTTTGCCCAGACAGTTGATCGTCGACAGGGTCATACTCATTTCAAGTGTGTGGCCCGTACCAAGATGCAATGAGTGGATGTCCTTCCCAAAGTAGCATGTCTGCACACAGGGATATCCCTTGAACCGTAACCGAAAAAGAAAAGAGGAAATGCCTACCAAAGTATACGTCTCAAGCAAAAGCAACTCCTCCGCTGCATCTACGAGTCCAAAATTGGAACACAGTGACGTGGACCACTAACGCACCAGGATCCTGCAATTCCCCCGCAGAACCAGCAGATAGGCAACCAAGCAGATACTCCACGGGATTAAGCAATAGAGCTAAGTAATGCACCACGTGGGTGTGCACATGTACATGGTACATATTCTCCCACCTATTTTGTGTGCTTATTCTGTGTACCATGCGGAGAAATAGTACTTCTCCGAGTGCCAGTGTATGCAGGATTATTCCCCTCATCTGCTGCTCACACATTACGGAACATCACATTCAACTAGAGCACGTATGAGGGGTAGGTAGAATGCAGATACACAAGCTGCATAATAAATCCCATTAATAGTATCTAAACAATACACCAGAGTGCAAGTCACACATGTGATAAGAAAAAAGAAAAGAAATAGACCGAAAATTAACATTCAATAGATTGGAAAAATCTTCCGTCACACGGACATATACCAACAAGAAATATATTTATTTTTTCTTTTTACTTGCCCGATGGAATTACATCATACTACTGAAACCTTTTTCAAACTCAAGATAATCAATAGTACTACCGTGCTAAAGAGTAGATAGTAGATAGAACCCGATCAAACTTTGAATCCCTACAAGGCATGATAAACCTAGAATAGCATTTACAATAGTACTACCACTTATAAAATATAGAATTGAATTGATGAAATCGGTCAGATGGGATCTTCACGATCTACTCTGTACGAACAGGGTTTACCATGTCAATCACACATTTCTCTGTATGTATTCAACGTGACCATAAATCGCCATGAAAAAAAGTAGAAAAAAGAAAAGAAGATATCATCCCTCCAACATGCTCAAGAGGGAAAGAAATAATACTGCGGCCTATTCCGACATGATGGTCTAAGCTTTACGTGTGCTTCTTCCTCCAACTAACTACGTAGTATAACCCAACTGATGCATTAATTTCCCACAACCAAACCAAACCAAACCAATTATCTACCCTCCCATTAAGGGTTCCCATAAACCACAACCTGGACCAGGCTACCAGCAGATAGATTACCTACATTAGTGTACTCCGTACTCCCTCTGTTAAATGAACATGATGGTAAGCACTAAATCACACACACACAGACATCCATAATACTAAGAGTGTGAGACACATCCCGACACGGGTAAATTGCTTCTCAGGCCTAATTCTGCCTAGACTCAATATTACTACTACTAGTAAGTATTAATTGAAGGTGTGTGTGTGTGTGTGCGATGATAATAACAATAATAATAATATATTGTAATATAGTAATAATAATAATATAAATGGGGACTACTGCGTAATATCATATAACAAGTAGCCTAGCCAAGACAAGACAAGAAAAAGAGATGGATTCGTGCACGTGCAAATTGCTTACTAGGCAGTAGGCAGATATCTTTTTGACTATGGAGATGGATGGATGTAAGTTAACTAGCTAATTACTTATCCTATCCACTGTTAAGCAGGAATATGAAGCCATCTTCCATCCGTCCATCCATCCCATCGTGGGTACCGCACGGAGTAGTAGGCTTTTTGCATTTAGTGAGATGGAGTTATTATTGCCGGCCCGGGATCCCGTAGGCTGAAGATGGGTGTGTCCCACACCATTACTATCGCTGTTTAGCGATGATATCCCTCTCTCCCTCCATCGAGTTCTACAAGTGGCGCCATCAGTAAAAAGCTAGTCTAGGGCCCCGCCGCACAAGCTGAACTGAACTGAACTGAACTGAACGAACCGCGACCGAGCTTTTTCGCAAAGAAAAAAAAAAAAAAAATCTTCCTGTATTTTTTTTTTTTCCCTCGCAAACTTCAGATAGGTGGATAATTTATTTGTTGGGACAGGGAATGCAGGATGATGAAATGATTCGTTGAAAGTTCATTTCTTGGCTGCAGGATTTAGTGCCATGACCGGACCACGATCTAGAGCGGAGCCCAAAGCGCAGGTTTTGAGTCCAGGACGGACTCTAGTGAGGGAGAGAGGGAGGGAGTCATACGAGGATTGGATTGGACTGGACTGAACTTGTATCTATCTAGACTAGTAAGTAGATACGGATTACTACGGCGTGTTACTAGGTTGGTTGGTTGGATTGGTGTGGCTCCGTCTTCGTGCAGCGACCTGCATAATGGTCTCGCCCTGCAGAGCATTTGCCGGCAGCAGCGTAGTCGTCGTCTTCGCTAGGAACAAGCTTCCCGGTCGGAGACGAGGAAAGTCTTAGGAAGGAATGGGATGCGAACTAGACTAATTGCTCTAGAAGCAATTGGCTTCGTTTGTTGCTGGAGAAACGCCGCTCGCTCGCTCGCTTTTTTGAAGAAAACCCTGCAGGAAGAGGGAAGAAGGTTTTGTGTGCGTTGTACCTGGCATGCTGGCTTGCTAGGCTAGCTAGCTTAGCTAGTAGGGATGGTAGTAGGGATAGCAGAGAACAAGAGAGAAATTTTTTGACGGCTTACTTACCGACCCGAACTCCGTGGCTGCCGAGGTAGGTACGTACAGAATAGGGAAAGGGATAGGGAAATAAAATATAATAATAATAATAAATAAATGAAAAAGCAAGTGTTGTGCGAAACTAGTAATGGCTAAAAGTGAAAGCAGTTCTTTGGCTAAAATGATTACTGAGTAAGTAGTATACGGAGTATTATTGTTGGTATAGCTGTCATGATAAGCTCGAGGTTCATTACTTTTTGACAGCTTTGCTTTTCCACCTTCAAAAGACCCGACTGATTAACTATCGAATGTTTAATTTACAATCTGACTAGCTTAACGGACATTTGCTCAGGGATTACCCTCCTGTCAGTGTCAAAAGTGTCAAAGGGGGGGGTTCATTTTAAATGACGATGAGCAGTGGGAGACTGGGTCCCGGGCCAATTTGAGCTTGTTCGTACGCCATCAATTGAGGCTGTGGACGGGAGAGCAGGCAAGAGGGGAGGAAGAGAATAGGGGGGAGGAACTGGTAGCTACTTCAGGGAGCCAACTCGGAGACGCGGCTGGCGACGTTCCGAGTTTGAGCTTGACACGAACAGGGCAAAGAAAAGAGAGAGAGAGTGTGTGTGTGAGTGAGTGAAAATCGGCGACGCGGCAGAACGGTCGCCAAGAGGCGCTCCAAGTGGGGATGCGTCCCTTTGTGCCGCGACGAAACAGACCGAGAACGGAGTCTATCCCCAAACCTCTCTTGTGTATATTTACTGGATCCAGAATCGTTGGTTCTGTCTGTCTGTCTGTCTGTCGGGTGGCATCCGCCACCGCCGCCGCACACGGGGAATCTACCCATCTGGAGCCGATGGGGGTCGACCCAGATGGAAGTGTTCGTCTCGTGTCTAGCAGTATCTAGTCTGATGTAGCATGAAGATAGCTGCTCTCTAGGTTGAATGCTGATCCTGTCGATGGCAACATCGTACTTTTAATTTTTTACTTCTTTCATTTTTTTCCCTTCTGGTTGCGCGGACAATGACTGATAATGTCGCATGTACCGGAATTATGCTCAACGTCACGGCGATCAACGGAGAGAAGGTTCTCCGTAGTTTCCACTGAAAACGAACCAGCTGCTCCGTACAATTGAGTCAGGATACCTATGATAGAGAGTCAGATTTGAGATATATATCCTGCAGGAAAAAGAATAATTCCCTCATAAGCAATCTCAAAAGGAAGATTAAGCATATTGAGTAGAACCCACACAGCCGCGTTGCCTGCATCTCACACTGCATCTAGTCAATGTATTAAGGGCGCTTGGAGAGAACGGTATGACCCTTCGGTTTGAGACTCGGAAAGCTTCAGATTTCGGGCCCGGTCCCGTTCCCCCCCCTACCCACACCTGGGATCATTCAGTGATTGCTCAGCAAGCAAGTAGTAAGTAAGCAAAAAAGCAGGTACGGTCGCAGCCGGGTCAGCTAACAGAACTACTAAACCTCAGTTAGGCACAGGCCCCGGCGCAGGAGTAACTTAGCAGTACGTAGTAGAAGTGATGCGAGAGGTAAGGGCCCGCAATCACCGCACCTGCCAAAGCAACTGTACTACTAAACTACTACTTACTGTGTACTACTACTCTCCACCAGTCACCCAGCTAGGACTTCTCCAATGAGCCACAGCGTCCAACTAAAAGTAGACTAACCCTTAGCTTGTATGGGACCAGAACTGGGTCATCTTCGGTCGGGTCACACCTCCTTGCGGCAATGGAGGCGTGGGCTCAGCTTTTCGGGTTAGATGCTACTTGGCCATCGTGCAGTGTAGTTTAGATCGGACGGAAAGGGAAGGGAACTGCTGGGGTTGTTGTTGTTGTTGGATGGATAGTTATTTTTCTTTTTTTTTTTTTTTCCCCATTTATCTTCCCTTGCAACAGATCCAACGATAGACAAGAGACATACCGTCACGGCCGTTACTCTGGGTGACGGACGGATGGGATTCAAAAATGAGAAATTCCCACGAGAGTCACATTACTGCCTCAGTTACTTACTAAGTACTTACTGCCCGCTTGGGGTGACATCCAGTAATGGAAGTGACAGCACAGCTTCCGCGGATGATCCGGTTGGAGACTGATGTTCGTATGTAATTAATTTACCCGTACCCTTTTGGAGGAGGGAACAGCCGCACCGTTTGGCGATCGATTAGTCGATGGACTACGAGGGACTACTACAGAACTACTAGTAGTAGCGAGGGTGGCTGGTAAACGAAGAGAAAGAAAGAGAAGGGCCACATCATACGAGATGGCAATCATAATCTATAGAGCCCCATAAATGATATACATAAACATACAAGGATTGTAGAATAATCCAGACCATATGGCATGAGACCTGGAATGTACACAGGTGCTTATTATTGCAACTGGTGAGAAAACAAATACTGCTAAGTTAGCAGTCAGTTGAGAGATACAACAACACACCCGTGACCACTCCAGCTCAGCAAGAGAGATACATCCATATTACCGTATTACTGACTAAGGCAGCACTACGGCCGAAGACATCTGATGGGTTACACCAATAACAACGCAGCCTTCGGAGGTCGAGTCTCCAGTGGCAGCTTCTTACTACGCTAATTGGCTCTTTCCCCAGACCTCGGGCGCCTTTAATCTCCACCTGCCCTTGCTTTCCCCGGGCTTGGAAAGTCAATCGTTCTTAGGCGATACCCGGTCGTCGACTAGAGGAAGAGAGAGAGACACACACACGAAGGATTTGCCATCTGAGAGGTTGTCCGCGTGTTGAGTCTGCAGCCCTTGCTGGACGAATGGAGCCATGTTCCTTCCACCCTGCATTTTGGGGCCCTATGGGGTTATTCCCTCCAGCCCTTTAACCTAGGTAATTAAACAACCCTCTAAGACGATGGCAAAGCCCTTCTTCTCCCCCGCTTGCCCATGGTTTGCGGAAAGTCTAATCCCCCATGCCTCCAATGGGATGTTCATGGACGAATGGAGAGAATACCGCAGAATGATGGAGGATCGGCACCTCCCTCTTGTCTGTGTCTCTGGTGATGGTGAACGGCGTCCAAGTACTCGCCAGCGAGACCCATTGTGTTAGCCTGACTTCTAGTCGTCAATTAGGGACATTCACACACACGGGAGTGGCCCGTCAGGTGGATTCCTGCACATCGTTTTAAAAGCCAACGCTAAATTCGGCCGCTCCACTCCTGCGCATCGCCGACAAAGCATGATAAAGTAATAAAAATCATGGTGACACCGTAATAATAAAAAATAATAATATGATATAATAACAGCCTAGATTATATGCCCCCCAAAAAGACAGATTGGGTGAGGGGAGGAAGGGAAAAAAAAAAAGAAAAATTTCCCAAATTTTGCTCAGATCAACGCTAACCAACGGATCCCATGGAGAAAATGTCGAATGAAAATGAAATAAAATAAAATGGAGCATCAAAATAAAATAAAATAAAATAAAAAAAAGAGGAGAACTTACCAAACCAACTAAAATCCCAGGCTAAACTCAACTAACGGTCCTTCCTCCCAAATCCGGTAGAATTGCTGGCTCCCTGCAACCTTCGCTCGTCCGGGTTGGGTCTCATCCCAAAGTCCGTTAATCCCAGCGAGAAGCACTGTCAGGCCGGGCCACTTCCTATTTCTTATTTGACCTTCGCCTTTTCCCCTCTTCTCCCTTGTCCTCTCTCCTCATTGCTTCTATTTATTCCTCTTACATCTTGCACGGTCCCAGTCGTCGTCAAGATACCTTGCTGATCCGGCCAGCAGAGCTGTGCGCATCATATTTCTTTTTGGACTCCTCTTCCCCTCTCCGTGGTTTCATATATATTCATCTTCCTCCACCTTCCAGCTAGCTGGATTGCTCTTTGATCTTAAACCATTATAATCAATCTCCCTCTTATACCTTTGATCCTTGATCGAATTATCTCCCGATAATCATCATGTCTGCTGAACACCCTATTGAGAAGGACATGGCTCCTGAGCTTGAGAACGGCAGCAACGGCAGTGCTCCCTTGACCCACGAGTTGACCGCTGAGGAGACCGCCAGAGCTGCTGCGCGTTTTGGCTATGGACCCATGGCTCACGTCAACACCAAGGAGGCCAACCTGCGCCCCTTCGGAGGTGAATTCCAGCCTGGTCTGTACAAGTCGGTCGAGCAGCGCAAGTTCGCCAACCCGGCGCCTCTGGGTCTCTGCGCTTTCGCCCTCACCACTTTCCTCCTGAGTTTGATCAACATGGGAACCCGTGGTATCTCTGCGAACAACATTGTCGTTGGTTTGGCTTTCGGATATGGTGGTCTCGTTCAGTTGCTTGCTGGCATGTGGTATGTACACCCTGTTGCCACATCCTCGAAATGAAATGCTGATCGTTATTGATAGGGAAATGGCTGTCGGAAACACCTTCGGTGCCACTGCTCTGTCCTCCTACGGAGGTTTCTGGATCTCTTTCGCCATTGTCTTGACCCCCGGTGGGTTCGAGATCGAGTCGTCGATTGAATCCGCCGGTGGCGCCACCATGTTTTACAACTCGATGGGACTGTACCTGCTGGTAAGCTTGATCAATGGCTGGAAGAATGAGCATCGCGCTAACTATCCTCCTTAGGGCTGGTTCATCTTTACCACCATCCTGCTGTTCTGCACTCTGAGATCCACTGTCGCCTTCTTCTGCCTCTTCCTGTTCCTGGACCTGACCTTCTTGCTGCTTGGTGTTGGTTACCTGCAGCGGAACTCTGCTGGCGAGCCCAACACCCCCGTCATCAAGGCAGGTGGTTTCTTCGGTCTCCTGGCTGCATTTGCCGCTTGGTACAACGCCTTGGCCGGTATTGCCGACAGCAGCAACAGCTTCTTCATCATCCCTGTTGCTCACTTCCCCTGGTCTCCCACTGCTCGTAGCCGTGCTAAGACCCCCCGTGAGACTGTCTAAACCAGTCGCGTGGGTTCGGACCATCGACATGGTCGCGTTGAAAGGAGCCTCTTGAAAGAAAGAGTAATACACCTGCAGTTGTTATGTTTCAGATACCCATTCTAGTAAGGCCATTGCTGCGCGGGGAATGGTCCAGGTTGTAGACCACTTGGGGGTCTTGTCAAGACGTGCAAGCCCTCTGCAGCGGGTCTAAACAATCCAGAGCAGTGTTTTGTTTATTGTGTTGGTTTCCATTGGGATATATAATATCGGAACCTGGGTAATAATGATGGAGCAGTCCGTTGTCGAGTGCGACGGACAGGAAACGCGTTGGTTTTGGATGTTTAGTTTTTGTTAATGAAATGATTAACCTTGAATGAATACATGATTTATGTCAGCTTGACCTGAAGTAAATGCTGTTGAACACCTACCTCATCCCTCTGTCAAAGACATCCATCCATCACCAAGTCCTGCGCAGCAGTCCTGATAGACCTTATATACCCCAACACAAACAAAGAAAGCATAAACAAGAAAAGAAAAGAAGTATAAAAAAGAAAGCAATAAACTATGACCTGCACGCAACGCAACACAATGCAATGCAACTCACTCTTCAAACCTTCGAAGAAAAGCTTCAATAGTCAGTAGGTAGTAGTAAGTAATCCCCGACCGCAGGAAACAAAGAAATAATATCCCGGTCGCTTGACACCTTGTCAACGTCGCAAACTCTCCGACGTCGCACAAGTTGAAACCAAGAATATGAGTCAAACAATCAATCAAGTAATCGGGCAGGTAAGTTGGCGGGCCGTTTCCAAGCTGTCAGTTAGTAGTTCTGTTCGCTTTTCTTTGTGTAAATATACTTTGTTAGTGTATAGACATGTAGTATAGCAATAGTAGTCGTAGTAGTAACCACACCCAATCTGCCCTGCTATGGAACCAAGCTGTATAGAGTATAGCTGAAGTTATACCACCGAAACAAGCAGGTAGGAAAGAAAGAAAGAAAGAAAGAGAAAGAAAGAAAATAATAATAAGCGCGCAAGGCTACAGTAGCTAGCAGCGAAACGAAGAGACCGACGTAAGTATTTATCTCTCTTCACACCGACCGACCGGCAGCGGCAGCGGCAGAGACTCGGCATTCGGGCGGGATTTGCTCGGACGGAAATTTCTCGGAAGTGTCAGAAAAAAAATAACCTCACTACTTACTCACGGGCACTAGTTAGTTCATACTTAGTTGATTGATCCCGAGAGCGATTGTCCAATCCGCTGCTGTTGGCTGGGTTCTGCCAATGTGGACTTTTTGAATGTGTTCGTGTAAGTGGATTCTTTCTTTTTCAGGGCTTTTCTTTAATCACATATTTTTTTCTCGTGGTTGGGCTTTTTGTTTCATCGTTTGTTGGTGTGGGAGAGGGCGTGGGTGGCTGGGATTGTGTTATTGGGAGGTGACTGTTTGTTCAATTGGTATGGGTGAGGGATTTTTTGTACAAGGCTTGGTTTTGGGGCTTACTGTCCTGTTTTCGGGCTTGGTTAAGTCGGGATCCCGGATGGTGTGATATTTGGGATTATGACTGATTGGTTGATCATCCTGTTTTCATGATTGAGAGGATCATGTGTGGATAAGTAGTAGAATTAGGGGTGTTGTAACGATTGTGGCAGCTTTGGTCATATATACCATATCTCATTAATATATCATACATGCCACATGAAACATGCGATCAGTCCTATGTATGAGTGTTATGTCGGGTCTATATACATTCGTGCGGTGCGCGGAGCTTCATCTCAATCTCTTCCCATAGTTCTCGTAGCGGAGTCAGGTAACTCCGGTCCGCATAGAAAAAGCCTAGAAGTAGGGCTCGGAGGTCCTGCCACGAGTGGATGCTTCCGTCTTCTCGAAGTACCGAAACAAGCTCGTTCACGAAAAAGGTCCGCTCCGGTAGCAGCCGCGAACTGCACGCCCCGATGAACAGGATCCAGATCAGCACATCCCGGCACAGTTCAAAGTATCCAGCACTCATCGTGCTTTCCAGCGCAAAACGAAGCGCAGTCACCGGTTTGGGGAACACCGGCGCGATGTGCGGGTAGAAGCCCCAAATGACAGTGTTATGGAACACCAGGCATGCCAGCCGAACGCAGCCTTCGATGGTGGCTTCCATCTTGATTTCACCTGTCGCCGTGTACCGGTCCTCATGGAGGGAGTATTCGACGTACAGGACTTCGGTGTTGAAGTAGTCCTCCGTCTCATCGTCAAAGTCTTGGTATTGCGTTGTACTCTTGATCCATTCGCAGTACCACGTCAGTGCGGCCAGGTCATATATCATCTTGGACATGGCATCCCCAAAGATGCCGGGTATCTCAATTAATTGTGTCAAACGCGTAGCTAAAATTAGTAGATCTTCATTAGGAGGCATAAGCGCCAATTGCGAGGGACGGGCGTAACGAATAAAAGGGAATATGGGCTTGGTGCCGGCCATGCACGCCACGCGGATGTCAGTCCTACTCGAGTCAGTCCCGGCCCACAGACTCCACCAAAGCTTGAGTTGAACTGACCATGATATCTGGAATCGAACGTCGGGCGGTACATCCGCGAAGGTTTTCCTCATGCCTACCATCTGTCGGAGACCGGCCAGATGGATTTTGAGATAGTCGGCATTGCCAGATGCAATCTGACAAGTTAGCTAACCTCTTACATAATGGTTCAGCAGTACTAACCTCAATAGTCAAAAGGATTGACACGGCGGCAATCAGCTGGTCACTGGAGGCCTTGATCGGATCCGATAATCCCTCGTTAACTAGCTTAATAGTCTCACCCCGATGGTGGAACGTGTCCAGAAGTAGCACGCTAGAACGCCGCTTGTTGGGGTCCGTCAGCGGGAGCTCCCCTGCTGCCAAGGCGGAATTCGATGCGGCTACACATATACAAGCATGCAATG